AACACCTTCAGAGAGACTGAGGGAGCCCCACACATCACAATATCCTATTGTCCAGTGATTATTTACTCACACGAAAAGTGGCATATCCCTGTTCAAATCCCTTCTTCCCCTCAGGTGGTGGGAGGGGCGTGAACCAGGGTCTCCCATATCCCCAGTGAGTATCCTAACCCCTGGGCTAAAAGTTATGAGGGAGATCCTCCTCCTTCCCCTCCCTCTCAGCTTCTTGATAAAATGGCATAGGTGCCTAATGTCAAGCAAGGGTGTGCAGCTGAGAATCCCAATATAGGAAAGCACCGCCCTGCATCCCGAATTTAGGCATGCCTATCTCAGAGGTACAGGGTGTAGGATGAAAACCTCATCTTGGCATCTCCCATTGGCTGGTTTAGGCAAGGAGCCGCCAGCATGCTGCCTTTTGTGAAACCCACTCTCAGGAGGCTCTCCCCCCGTCCCCTCATTGTATAGGGCACCTATGTGCCTAACTCAAGCTTTGTGAATCTCAGTGATTTTGTAAGTGTCAAAAAAATCGGGAGTGCTGATGCCCCTAAGTTTCTTTGTGACTTAGCTCAACATGCCTTCAATATTATCTCCAATAAGGTGACAGTTTGCAGATTTGGTTATTTCTTTCCAAAATGTGGTAGTCTTCGGTTTACAATTGTCACTAAACCTCTGTTAAGAGATTCCCCATCATAACCTTACTGTGTTCACATGCCATCATGTAAGATTCTTCTACCTTCAGAAGCATGATAAGGAAAGACTATGAATAATCAAGGCATCAGAAACATGCACAAAAAAACCCTTTAGATTTCTAAAATTCTCAATTAAAGCTTTAAGATCTTCATGAATATCTAATCCAGAACTAAAAAATGCTGTGAATTTTAGATCCTATGAATTTATTCTGAAAATTCAACGTAACTTCTTTAAAAGTTTATTGCCTGCTATCTTAAATAAACAGATATTAAGATTCTGGTCCAGGTAAAGCAAAAGGTGCATCAAAAATACCACTCTGGATCCTTTGGACATACTTCTAGGCTACATCTCTCTCTTTTTTTTAAGTCAGTGCAGCAACAAGCTTAATTATTGCTCACACTAAATCTATGATACCTAACTTTGCCTTACGAACTATAGAAACATCTAATCAGAGTTATTTTTCTCACTTTGATTATTCCTTAGAACTATGCAAACATTTGCTAACTGACAAAAGTATACATCTCAATACCGAGAATAACAACGGAGCTAGAGCCACAGTTTTAACATAATCCCTACCATGCTCTCTTGAGCAAGTTGGCAGGCATCTCCCTGCTCAGAAGAAATACTTAATGAATATATGGGAGTTTTTAACTCCCAATACCAACACTTTATGAAATTCTTAATACAAATAAGATATGCCACTAGGGAATTTTAAATGTAAAGAAAATACAAGTGATTAGTTTAAACTGAGGCTAGGGTTTTCAGCGCCACCTTAAGATTATAGCAGATTTTGTAATGTACAGTGATTACTTACTTGTTAAAAAAGGGTTCAATGAGTTTTGATCTAGCAGATACATGATTTTTCGGAGGACTGAGAAATGAACCTAATAAACAAAGAAGAAATTCAGCATATCACATGCAGTGAAACAGAGCATGGAGGAAAAGTTTTTTGGGGAAAAAAAATATAGTACCTAGGTAGTTAGCCATGGAGATGAAACACAGTCCTGTTATGTAAGCATCATAGCCTGCTTCATGAAGTTGTTCAGAAGCTGTGTCATAGCTTGGAAACCCTTCTGCACTTTCTGAAGAAGGAAAAGTCATGTTTATCTAAGGGTACCATGGAAGTGGAAGTTATATTTAACCGGAAACTTACATTTGCTCCAAGTGCATAATGCACTATGGATAATTCTAGTAAGCTTCATTGACAGGAGAAGGCTTCTAGGAACCATTCCTATTCCCACTGAGTCAAAAATTGTACCACTAGACTCTCATAGCCCTTCTCATCCAGAGATATTCTGGACCATACTGCCACTTTAGCAGCCAAACTTCCATTGATACAATGGGAACAGGATTAGTCATCAGCTTATTTCTTCTGATTCTTCTGCAACACATGACATATACAGCTTGTAATTGTTACTCCACTGGTAGCAAACAGACTAAAATTTTTCAAAAGTGCCTAAGTGACTTCAGCATCTAAATCCTATTTCCAAAGGTGACTTAGGGCCATATTTTTTAAAGATACTTAAATGACTAAATATGCAAATAAGTATCTTGTGGCATTCTGAAAATCCCACTAAGTACCCTAACTGCATTTTTAAGCACCTAAATACTTTTTAAAAGTTTAGCCCTAAAATATTTAGAAAGCCTACGTCCCATTGACAGTCAATTTACTCCCACCCCACAAGCCCCCAACATTAGGATTGTGTAGCCTTTAATACTTAATTTCCCAGTCTGTAGAGAGACATCTGAACAGTTCAAGCAACATTTTTAAAGGGGAAATGGGACTAGAAGAAGAGAAACAGCTGCTTAAACCAAACTTAAGTACACACAGTGGAAATGGAAGTCAAGCTTAGTTATATTCACATTACAACAATTAAGGAGTCTTTTCCGCAGCAAAAGTGATGAATGAATATAGCTATGAAGTACACCCCAATATTTAAAATAGGGACATAAATAGGTGTAAAAATATAGTATTTTAGCCATATGTAAAGGAAGCCTACCTATATGTAACAAAATAAGCTTACTAACTACCTTATCTAGTATTTTTCCAGTGTCTAACCATGACTCAAAATTCTTAGCATATTTAAGTTTAAAAATCTACAAAAAAAAGTTACACAGCACTAACACATAAGTATGCCAATGTTTCACAGCCAAAAACAGTCCTCTCTCGAAAGGGTATATTTCTAAGAAAAAAATGTTACTACCACCTAACAGGTTCAGTTAACCTGTTTGAGTTTAAAATCAAGTTATCCTTTTAACGCCACAATGCATACCCACAAACACATTTCTCCACAAATCGAACAATTGACAGAAGTATTTCAATAACTTTAAACCATCTTTGCCTTGAAAGTTCTGACCCACATCTATGGCAATATCAAACTTTACAGTAGTCATTCACTACAAGTGATTAATGTTAACGTATCCACCAAATTTTGATGCAGAACCCAACAAGTAGCAAAATTAATATGATTTCATACAATCATTTGGTACTACATCAGCTAAAAGAGCTCACCAGGGAGAGGCCAAGTTGTCCCATCCCCAAGTTCGAAGAGGCTACAGTGAATACATTGTGAAAAGTACATATGTGGAAGTAGGAAACTATGCTGTGTGCACCAGCACCTCCTGCCGGTTGGTTAATAGAATGATTATTACAGACAGAAGTCAGAAAGCCTCTGGATTACTATTTCCTTTCTTGAAGCCACCCAAGTTTATTAAACTAAGTGCATTAGCTATGCATATTTAGAATGCTAAACAGAGTAATTCAAACATCTGTATTGCTTAAGACAAGAGACCCTCTCCTCCTGCCTTTTAACATGTTACGCTGCCCAATGGTTTTTCCCCTTTCTATATCAGCAATTCGTGCCCTCCATTCCAGAATGTTAAAACCAGTCTGTCCCTTCTGATCATTTAACATCTCTTCTTTCATGCCACTGCCTTAGAAAAAGTGATACAGCTCCACAGTACTTAATTACATTCTAAAAGTTAGCATGGGATCTAGTTACTAGTGTATTTTTTCAAAGAGTCCAGCTAAGTACTACTGGTAATTAATTAAGTAAGAGCTTTTAGAGTAAAGTACTTACATCTTGGCTTAATTTGAGACATAGCAGAAATTATTCACCAAAACCTAAGCTACAGAACAAATGCCATCAGTACAGTGACAGAACAGCTGTTCATTCAAGAATTACTATTCTACTTCACTCAAAATATAATGCCTAAAACCACAAAGAATAATGATCACAAATGGTATTGCATATATGTAACCCACTGCCAATACTAAATGGAGTTTAAACACCATTTAATTTAGAAATAGACCATTTTACATCCCAAACCAAGCAATAAGCATATCAATCTTTTCTGCGAAAGAGGAAACCTAGCACATAATTTAGGGTCATGGGACAAACGCTTTTATGCATCCTTACCAACTTCAGGAGGGTTGAATGGAATCTCTTTTAAACGCTTTTCCAGTTCTGCAAGGGATGTGTTGTTAATAATTTCCTAGAAACATAAGGCACAGTATGTGAGGACATCAATGGCAAATGCATTTTACCATATACTGAAATCATATGTATTAGAGATAACAATTGGGATTTAGTACCGCTGGCCTGTGTGCTCTACAGAGCTATACACAATCCAGTTCCAAACTCTAAAGTCTTGGAATGAACAGTTTGTTCCAACCCAAGTTTAAGGTTCCATGCAAATAATTGTTACAATTACACTATTTCTATCAAAAGCAATTTAGGCTCTGGGAACCCTAAAAAACAGCAAAATCAATATTGAGGCACAGTTCTTATCTAAAATTTGGCCCCCTGCTGAAAAAGGAGCACAAACAGCAATTCACAAAAACCCAGGTTTACAGCAGGTTATGGAATTAGAACTGAGCACCTCTTGCCCAGAAAGGATATAGCTGACCAAAAATATTGGTACTTGAGCTGGTGAGATTTTTTTTAAACAGATAGTAAAGAATATACAACAAGGTATACTGTTGCTTAATGGGGTAGCCAAGCAATAGAAATAGACTAACAGTTTAGTTACACTGTTATATGGTGTCTGATTTATTAGAGTTAGCAAATCTTATACATTAGCTTAGTTGACTAGCTTTATTCAATATAACAAAAGTAGTTACTGACACATTACACAAAGATTCTTAAATCTGAAATAAAAAGACAAATCTAGTCTAATTCATTATTTGGGTCACTAAATACTTTGTATTTATAACACCATTAGTCTCTCCATTGTACAAAGAGAGAAACAGGCAGCAACTTGCTCAAGGTGATAACCACTGGAAGTCAGTAGAACTTAGTTCTCCCTACTCAGCTGCGCTATCATCCTACAACTTCAGCTATCTACAATATATGTAATAATTTTGTGGTTTGAGTTTAACTCTTATGTTTCAAGACAATAACCAGAAGCCAAGAACCAAACGGGACACAGACTGGAATACCCTCACTCACAGTAGCCATCCATCCAGTGTAAAGCTACATGGGTAGAATAGGGTGGGAAGGCTTGCACTAGCACTACCTCAGACAGACCTATTCTGAGAACAAAAGTTTTAGCCACCAGAGCTGAAAAACAAGATAAACAAGTACTACTGTCTTTAAAAACTATATTAAGAACCTGCCAAATAATTTTCAACCCAGTGGTCAAGCTCAGAATACTTGTTGCACTGGCATCCAAAAACCCTAATTAGATGCACAAGGCATGTACACAAATGATAACATTATTTCTATTCCCCCCCCAACCCAAAATTATAAGTACAGTAAAAATTCCAAAGCAAGTATCACTGAAGTATGTGAGCTAAACACAAAACCCAACGTGTTCTCAAAATATTAGTTTTCAAGTTACAAAAGCCTTCAGATCTATTTGGACTCAAACAGTACTGCTCAACACAAGGCTGAAATTCTTGCTACATAAATTAGTTATTTTTACTCATTAAGACCTTGCCCCTCACCCCTCCCAAAAAAGCTACAGAAGTTATTATTGCAAGGTATGCACCTCTAGAGGCACCTGCTTCATCAGGTCACCATTCGCGTTTAGAATTCACTCAGTCCTGGGGCACACAGGAAAGTTTTGCAGAATGATCACTAGCCTAGCCATTCATTCCTCTAACTGGTATGTGATATTTAGGAAGCGTTTTTAATTTCACACAGACTGCTCTCAGTATGCAAGGAGTATATATGTGCCACAGAAAAACAGCAGTACATGTAAGCAACATTTCCTTCCAGTTGGAAACTTCTAAAAGTTAAAGACTGAGAGTTTGCAAAACTCTAGGGCTTTAGTATCCAGATGAGCAAGCAACTTGCAGGACCTAATATTTGCTGTCATGAATGTGAGAAGAGCAGAGGTGAAAGTAAGCCAGTCTGGTCCGATCCGGCATACCGGCAAGAAAGTGCCGACCATACTGGCAGGGCCGCTGATGGGGGAGGGCAAAAGGGGCAGCTACCCTGGGGCTCGTCAATTTAAAAGGGCCCCGGCGGCAATTTAAAGGGCCCAGGGCTCCCGGCGCCACTGCTGCTACCATGTCAGCAGCCGAAGCCCCAGGCCCTTTAAATCACTGCCGGAGCCCCAGGTGGCACCAGCCAGGCAGCGCTGAAAGGCTGGTTGGGGGATTTTGGCCCCAGTCCTGCCCCCTCCACCTGAGGCCCCGCCCCTTCCAGGGGCCCAGAGCTGCCCCCCACCTGCCTTGCCCAGGACCCCGGCCACTCTGCGTACCGATAAGTCAGTTAAGTTACTTTCACCCCTGAAGAAGAGGTCCACAAGAAGACAGACAATTCAGGATGCAACAACTGTTATTCACAAAGCAAAACCATTCTACCAGTCTCATTAATTAGAACCACATTTTAAACAGTAAAAGCAATATGCTTTTTGAATTAAGAGGACACCAAGTTAATACATAACATATGCAGAAGTTAAGATTTGCAGCCCACTTAGAACAGGACAAAAATATAGCTAACTGTCCGTATTTCTTATTCATAATTATGAATTAAATAGTGTTTTTTCCTTTAGTGCCCCATATTGTTCTAGTACAGATCACATGTACTGCAAGAGCTTGTGTGCCTAGAAAGTTAAGACTACCTTTAAGATATTGGTCCTACAAATATTTTTCCATTTATGCAACATTTTGAATTGTTATCCTAGTGTGTGTATATACATACATACATACATACATACACACACACACACAAGACGGGTTAGTTGCCTATTTTGTATATATAGCTATACCTAAAAAATTATATTTTACTATACAGATAGAATTTGGCCATGATGAAATCCTACATTCAAATCAATAGTTTAGTATTACCATGGATATAAAATCCAGCAACTGTGGTACAACACAGCATTAAATTGAACTTAACTGAATACTCCGTTCAACTGACATTTTAAAAATATCTCTTGTTAAAATTACGTTTGAACAGTCAAATGAGTCTATAAACAAAAATGATGCACCTGGGACTCAAAAACCCAGAGTCCTACTCAGGCAAAAGTCCTGTTGATTGAGAGGATAGTTACCCAAGTAAGGACTACAGGAATGGGGCTCCCAGAATTTTGTGGAAAATCATGATGGATATGAATTATCCATCAGTAGAAATCGTAGAAGATTAGTTTCAGCACAGTCAATTAAGAACTTTACATTTGTCCAGGACCCAAAGCTAACTGCTCAAGACCAGCCATGTAGTAGAGTTTTTACCATGAAAGAATGGAATTTAAAAAGTATTATAATTTATTTTAAAGCTCATTTACTGTAGTTTTAGAAGGGTTAGATGAGAAAGTTTTTACAACAGTATGAAGTCATCCTGCTACAACAGAGGTAGTATTTATAAATGAAACATTCTATTATCGGTTATCTTCTAGCAAAATATTACTTGTATTTCAGTACTCATTTAAAACACACACAAAAAGATTAGACTATAGTTATTTACATTTGTAAGTTACCTTAAAAGGTTGCGTACTTGCCATCAGTTTAGTATCCAATAGTCTAAAAATGAAATTTAAGAGGTAAGAATAAAGTGTTTTGCTTTTATAAACAATTTTGCCAAACACTGAAGGATATTTTGTTTTATTCAGTGGTAAACAACAACATTAAGATGCTGAAAGTCATTAACACAGATCTTCAGGGAGCATTAGAACTGAGCTATGTCCACTAGAAAAAGTCAACAAACTAAGCCTGATAAAGAGCTGAAACTCGTAACATTAATAGCAAATAATTTTCATACAAAGAATTTTTTGTAAAGGCTTCTCTTTGGCTAAGAAGTATTCTGACAAGGGCGATGCAATCAGCAATGTCATAAATATGAATTAAAATGCAGACAGTAAGATTATTTTTAAACTAAATTGTTCTTAAATCACTGCAAATTGTAATACAAGTCACAACCATAATTTTATGCTTAATTTAGCCAAGAAGATAGCTGGAATTTGACAGTTGATATCTGTGAAAAAACTGCTCAATTGTAATTTGAAGATGAGCCTACCTGGGAAAGACACATGCCGCTAACTCCTTAAACTCACTTAGGTCCTAAAATTCAAAACAAAGTTTTGTTACTATCAAATCCGAACAGCATAAAATTCATAAGGCATTCTACTAGCCTGAAATAGATATTGATCAAGAGGTTCCAACTCTTTTATCCACTAAGATTTCTAAAGTAAGATCCAATGACTGTATTCTTTTTTATTTAAGATCGAAGTGTACTTGGTTACACTCTTTGAATGCCTGCTCACACTCAGTTTTTATAGGATTATAACCTTTTAGCTTGTCACTGTTTTTTCACCTAAACCTTCTGCCAGCCATCTCCAATATTCTGCTATGCAAAGATAACTGAAAAGGCTGCTACAGAAGATGAGCAGAAACTTTTAACCTGAAGAAGTTTGGTATAACCCAAACCCCGCTTTCCATTAGAATCAAGTGCTTTTCCCATCCCATACTAACAATGGCAGCCTCCATGTTCTGTCTGATATTAGAGCTAATCATCTACAGAAAACTGAAAAAATTAGTAAGTATTTCTTATATATTTCATAGTAGAGAATTAATTTAATTTAATGTTCATTTTCAGGAGATATTTTACTAATGAAATGCTTAAGTCATTGGCCCTTTCTTAGAAGGGGTTTGTGTATGACAACTCATTCTCTTAAACATTAACTCTTTGAGCCAATGAAGCATATGAACAGATGGTCACCTGGGGCTTCTGGGGAAGGTTGAGAAAACCCATCCTCTGTATTCACACAGAAATGGCAGTGAATCTGCTAGTAGAGGTGAAGAGTCCACTCTCTGCAGCGGAGATGTATACCAGAACCCCACTCTATGCCCAAAGAGGAGGGGGGAAGTAATCCAGCTAAAACCCTTATGAGGGGGCAGAAGGGGAGAAGTCAGTGTGATGTTCTGGGGATCACCCAGATCAGTAAGGGGTTCTGTCACCACCTGTCCTGCAGCCATGAGTTGCTTTCATGTTATGCTGCTATGGCTCAGAGCCCTGACACCAGTAGACAGCTCCATCAAACTCACAAAGGGGGTGTGACAATCAGGGCTCAGACACTCCAAGGAGAGAACAGTGGGTCTGAATCTCACAGAGTAAGCAACTGAATCCACAGGTTGTATACAATGTTGTGTACAAAAATATGTTGAATAAGGTCTTTTATGAAAACCTGTAATGTTCTGAACTTGATGGTCTGAAATATGTATACAGACTGATTACGAATATACATATATAAAATACTATGCTCATGATATGTACTACAATTTCAAATACACCTCACAGCAGACAAGAAACAATCCATCGTACAACCCAGGAAAAGTCAAATAATGTACCATTACAGTTAATGGGAAGACACAAACACCCCAGCTACCAAATCAAAAGGGAATTTCCCCTGTTCTGAGAAACAATGAATTACCATAGTCAGGGCGGAAAAAACTGCAAGCCATATTAAAAGGGAAGGTGGGGTTTGAAGTGAAAAGCACTGAACTGAGGGACAGTCTCAACAGCAGAAGGGACAGGGGTGGAGGGCGCTGCCTGTGAACACAGGATCTCATCACCTAAGGCTAGGGGGCAAGCTGGGAAACTGTTCAAAGGCAATAGGTAAGTTTGTATTAGAAAAAGGAATTTATCTAATACAGAAATGTAAAGCATGAAGTTGCATCTTTATGTTTATATTCCTTAACTTGTTTGCTTTTTCCTTACCGTTTCATCTTTGAGTCTGAGATTATTTTATTAAATAAATGTTGTTTATTTTTATCCCAAGCAGGTCTCTGGTGTGCAAACTGTGAGGAGTGTCTGCTAAAGTGAGCTGATAACTGAGGACTGTTTCCACACTTTTGGGGGTGACAAACCAGAAGGGAAGAGTCCCAGTGTCTGGTGGTTTAGAACTCAGGTTAGACAAATGTGGAGAGGCTCAGGACCAGAAGGGCTGTTGGAGTCACCCTGCAAGGAGTAATTAAACTGGTGGAGGCCAGGCTGAGTCTTTGTTTGTCGGCTGGCTACTAGTGTCAGGGCTCTGAGCCACAGCAGCACAGCATTAAGGCACCCAAAGTTACAAGGGAGGCCTGTCTGGGTGATCCCCAGATAATCAGTCACTACTCACTCTTCCCAGTGCCTGAAAATCCCCACCACAAATACAAGTCCTAATTGACTCTGCCCCTTCTCTCTCAGCTGCCAACCTTCTTCTATAACAGAAGCCGAAATGCTTTAATGATGGCCTTGGATTCTGGATCTCCCTATTTTCACAGGGAAAGAGGGCTAACGCAAGCTGCAAGTGACAACTTCTGAATGACTCAACAGCATCAAAGGGTGCAGACCCTTGATCATTTGTAGGAGTAGGTAAAGATAATCAGCCTACACCATAACTACATTGACCAAAATCTGAGGACTTCAGAAGCAGTGACAGCACCTCACCTGCACTTTAATAACCAAAAAGGCCATGTTACACCCCTGTCTAAAGATGGTTTCTTGAGCAAGTGACTCCCTATTTACCTATGTGCCAACATAGTTCAAACAAGCCTCAACCCATTTCCCCCACATCTAATAGCCAAGTCTCACATGCAGCCTCACCTGAAAAAGCCTCAAAGTTTATGATGCCTGTACAGGACACAAGTGACCCCTCTCCAGCCAAATCTCTTGCTTCCTCAAAGACTAGTACTGTAGCCTTACCCACCTAGCACAAACAAAGGCCAGGCTAGTAGATTAGGACTTCTTAAATAATCAGAACACCCTCCCCCTCCAATATTTCAGTACTGCAATTCCCATCCTTATAATCAATTTGATTTTATCCCCCAACTTCTGGGATTAGATTTCATAATGTCATCTCCATATCACATGTCACATCTCCATGTCAACTCAGCTTCTAGCAAACATCACAGAAGAGAACTTTATTTTTAAAATACAGCAGAGGAAAGTAAAACACTTCCATTAACGCTAGAGGCCTTGTTAAGACATAAAATGTAAGGAATTTTAAAAGAAACAAGTATAATGCACCTAATTACCCAGTCAATTACTGAAGCAGCATTGAGGGCCAAGAGCTGCAAGTACACAATTGACTTCCTAGTTTTCCTTTTCCTGAAACTGAACTTAAAACTTGATTTCCTACAACTTAAATTTTCCACTGCCATAGAGCATTGCAACTCCTGATCACTGAAGACAATTCTGTCCTTTAATAATTATACTCTTCTTTAGCATTATTCATGCTCCATAGGAAACTGCCATTTCCAAATAGCTTTCCTGCACTGTAAATACTTAGTGATATGGGATTATAAAGGCTAAACGTGATGAATGTAACATATCTTTAGTCAGACTAGGTTTTCAATTACAGTCACTTCATAAAGGTTACTAGTTTTATACTCAAGTCTCAATTAAAAATAGCTCAAGGACAATAAGGACATATGCCCAATTATACATGGGTTGAAATTTTAAAGCTTTCAGGACAAATGCTTTTAAAAGTGATTGAGGTATACAGTTAGAAATACTATAGTACATAAAGTCACATACTAGAGTTGATTTTTATTTGCACTCAACTTACATGTTTCAATAACATACATTTAATACCCTGAATCCTCACTGTAACTGCTGCTCTACTTTGAGCAGATGTTTTCAGAGAACTATCCACAATGACTCCAAGATCTTTTCCTTGAGTGGCAACAGCTAATTTAGACCCCATCATTTTGTATGTATAGTTGGAATTATGTTTTCCAATGTGCATTATTTTGCATTTATCAACATTGCATTTCATCTGCCATTTTGTTGCCCAGTCACCCTATTTTGTGAGATCCCCGCTAACTCTTTGCATTCAGCTTTGGACTTAACCGTCTTGAGTAACTTAGTATCAGCTGCAAATTTTGCCACCTCATTGTTCACCTCTTTTTCCAGATCATTCATGACTATGTTGAACATCACTTGTCCCAGTATAGATCCTTGGAGGACCCCACTATTGATCTCTCTCCACTGTGAAATCTGACCATTTATTCCTACCTTTTGTTTCCTACCTTTTAATGAGTTACTGATCAATGACAGGACCTTTCATCTCATCCCATGACTGTTTACTTTGCTTAAGAGTCTTTGGTGAGAGACCTTGTCAAAGGCTTTCTGGAAGTCCAAGTACACTATAGCCATTGGATCCTTGTCCACATTTGTTGGCCCTAGGGTGACCAGATGTCCCGATTTTATAGGGACAGTCCTGATATTTGGAGCTTTGTCTTATATAGGCACCTATTACCCCCATCCCCATCCCAATTTTTCACACTTGCTATCTAGTCACCCTAATTGACCCAGAATTAGAATAGATTTGCGAGGCAGGATTTCCCCTTACAAAAGCCTCATTGACTCTTCAACATATTGTGTTCATCTATGTATCTGATCATTCTATTCTTTACTATAGTTTCAACCAATTTGCGTACTACTGAAGTTAGGCTTACAGGCCTGTAATTGTCAGGATGGCCTCTGGAGCCTTTTTTTAAAAATCAGCATTACATTAGCTATCCACTAGTCTTCTGGTAGAGGCTAATTTAAGCAATAGTTTATATATCATAGTAAGCAGTTCTGCAATTTCATGTTCGAGTTCCTTCAGAATTCTTGGGTGATTACCATCCGGTCCTGAGATTTCAAATTACTGTTGAATTTATCAGTTTGTTCCAAAACCTCCTCTATTGACACTTCAATCTGGGAGGGTTCCTGAGATCTGTCAACTAAAAAGAATGGCTAGGTGTGGGAAATTCCCCTCCTTTGCATCTCTCGTTGCATCTCTTACTGCGACACTTCATTCAAAGATACAGTTACCAAATTGATGATGGAGATAATTTCAGCCCTAACTGCAAACTCTCCCTAGTAGAGGGTTTAAGAAAACTGAATGAACTATGGGCCAGTATCTCCAGAAAGCAAACAGATTTCTAATAGCATTTTAAAGATTCTATTTTAGTTTGTTCAACACCCCCTAGTAAGTTTCCATCCACAATAGAATTCAGATGAATTACTTCAAATTTCAGGATACATTTTCTAATTACCTGAAGACTGACAAGGCCACTTACTTCAGGTAGGGGACAGTAAAACTGGTGGATCGTGTGCATGACATCCAGTAGCATGTTGTGTCCAACAACAAGTTTGCCCTAAAGAAAGAGTCCATTATATGTGTGAATGACATTTCAAACTACTGTATACAAAATAGGTTACGGAAAAGGCTCTGGTGCAGTTTCACTCAGTTTTCAATTCATTACATTATAACTTCAAACTACTATACTGAATCACAAGCATATTCTTTACAGTTCAAGTATCTGATAATTATTTGTACAGTGGCAGTGCCAATAAGAAGAGGGGAGGGGACTATTGTGGCAGGCACTGTACAAACACGATGAGTCCTGTTCTAGAGACCATAGCAAAACCATTTAAAAACCTATTTTGAATATTTAGGTAGAAAGTAAGCAGACCCTGTTGATCTTTTTCTTACTGTGGTTATGCTTTTTACCTTGTGGTTACAGCCAAAACAAGAGTTACTTAATTTTTTTTCAAAAAGGACAGGACTTAGAATCTTGTTAACTCCTATAAGAAATTGGTATTATTCACTTTTTAAAAGATCTAATGAATAGGTGTAGTGAAATCTCATATTACTAAAGACTTTTAAAAAAGGATACACTACACTTATTTTATATCAAAGCATTGCCATAACCAAAAATCTTAATTAAAGTCAAGTAGAGCCCTGTATGGATACAAAATTTATATCCACGGATGTGGATATCCACAGAGCTGCAGAGCTCTACTAAGAACTGCAGCAGCGAAAGCAACAGCATGTCGGGCTGCCGCTCACAGGAGCCAGCACCCCACCCAGGCAGCTCCTCTGGCATGGATGTACCATCCCCAGCCCTGGCCACTGGGACGGGCACCAGGCTCACCGGCAGCTGCCCCGGTCACACTAGCGTGTGCGAGCAGCTTGCATACTCCCATATGGCAGCCCCACATGCTGTTGCTATCACCATTGTGGTTCCTGATAGAGCACAGCAGGTCTGCACATATGCACTTTAGACCCAAGGATATAAATTTTGTATCCGCGCAGGGCTCTAAAGTTACATACATTTCAGTCATACTTCATTAGTATTTGCTTATTTGTACAATTTAGTAGTAATGGACCTCATACTCTATGTGAATTATCAACTTTTTACTGTTAACTAAATTTGGACTCCCTGAGACCTTTTCCACTCGGCTTATCCAGAACACTTCATCCAGTTCTCTGGGATGTAAAAAACTCAGTTCGACTCCAGATTTCATCACTAAGGTTCCTTTATTTGCCATATAGCAAAGATACACTGAGCTTATCAAACAAAAACAGGGAGGTGAATGCAGGGTATATCACACCTCCAAACATACACAGAAACCCTCTCCCTTCATCTACATTTACACATCTCATTGCATTTACTATACATGACATCACATTTTTGTATTGGCTTGATTACTTTGCCAAAACCAATCCCTGTGCAGCATGCTGTGTCCATAAATTGTTGATGCTTGACCTCTTCTCTGCATTCCTAATTAATCTTGTCCATTGCTAGTAAATGGTTCCCTGGATGTTCTCCCTCTTACCTTAGCTCGCTCAGACATTCTGTTTTTTTAGCCTACTGACCTATTTACTTATCTTATTTAGCACAAAAGTTCTGCTTTCAGCCTGATGATCCGTTTACCTCTCTAATCCTATCCGCCAAGTAATGAGGCCTCCCTCCAGGTGTTAATTACTCATGTCAGGCCAGGCCTCAGCTGAAAACTAAAGGTATATATGAAAAAAACAAACAAAAAAAACCAATGTGTTGGTTAACTTACAGAATTAGCAATGGCATGAATGACTCTGGAAAATCCCACTGCATCACTGAGTTCTTCCTGCAAAATTTCAAGTATCATTAAGTGAAGTATAAATGCAAATAACTGACAGCAATGTCTGTATATTGTGACAATAAGACAATATCCCTGCAACTAGATCTCAAATTAAGGTCCCCCATTCAGTATACTTCATAAAATGATAATCAAATCAGACCCTAGGAAAGGCAAATATTTGCGAAAGTATTATTGTGGTCAGAGTAGGGCACTGGTATCCACTCTCTCTAATGGTGTAAATAAAAGACAAGTCAACTTGTGCCATAGATCCCCATCTATAAAATAGGCATAAGCTGGCCTGAAAATTGTTGGGAATGTCTAAGTCTGATACAATAAACTTTTACATAGTATTGCAAACAATGGGGCTAAAAGTAAAACTGCTCAATAGTATCAAATGTTTTTGTTCATTTCCATTTGATGAACTTTGCTTTTGCTATTAGAGCAAGAGTGAAAAAAACTTCTACCACCTCATTTCAATGCCTACATTGCCAAGGAAAAACACAAGCAGTGAGGTGTTTTTTTTAAACAATTCACTATTGCTTTAATTCTACTCTCACTGAAGTCAATGAGACTTAAAATTGACTTCAATAACGGCAGAGTTAAGCCTCCATCGAATGCTTTTCAAAATCTTCCTTTAGCAGTAAAAGTTGCAAGAGGGCAAGCAGAGAGTTGGCAGGGGGTGAAAGAAGTCACACTGAAAGTGCGTTTAGCTGAGTCAGAAAGGGGTGTTCAATATCAAGCCAAAGAGGCCTTCCACTTATGAGCAAATAATGCATGCTCAAAACAGGTTGAATTTTTATCCTGAAACATGCATTCAATAAAGGGTGCCTGGCATTTTTCTGCTCAGGACTCGGGACTTTTGTCAGGCCCCAGAGACAGACACAGACATCTCATGACTCAACCATTTGATATTTTAGAGATTTGTCTTGATTTCAGACCTCAGTCTGTAAGGTATTTGGAAGTACTGCTAACCTATACACCATTAGTTCAAAATACTGATCTGCGAGTTGCATGCTGTATACAACAAGCTACTACGTTATTCTAGAATGTAAATCAGCAAAACTGAATGAGGTGCATTTTGGGGCTGGAGGAAAGGAGGACAGGACTCCATTAGGTGTCCCTGCTGCATCTGGGTTACAAGGGAGGGGGAAAAGGGGGACAGACTTACCTGAGCAGAGCCAAGGTGGGAAAAGTGGCCAGACCAGATGGAGGCTCTGACTGACCATGTGCACCAGGGAAGGGAGGTATTTATACCCAATGCATACCAGAAGGAACGTGCACTCTCAGTCACTGATCAGCAGCACCCATCTTCCCACCCATGGGATCAAAGTAGGACAGGATTTTATGATCTACTGTGGGTTTGCGCTGGTTGCTTTTTTCATTTGGAGCTAGAAAGGAATTTTTCACCATCACCTTCCCACGGCAGGTGAGGGACCAAGAGATGCAAGGAAGGAGGTTAGGTCAAGATGTTGCAACTTAGGTAACACATACAACAGGTGTCCAGTGCAGGTACTCATTAAAGGGGATACAGTTCCCTGATAAACAGGAGTTGGAAATGGATTTAGGGGAAGGAATCCCCTAAGTAAAGAGGGGCTGGGGCTCCAAACATCAGGTACAGTCCCCGTTTTTTTTCAAGCCCACTTTAGTCCCCATACAAGGAAATGGTGATGGGGTCCCAACAATGGACTGGGACCAACTTGAAAAGGGGGAGGGCTGATGGCAGCCCTCAAAAGTGGGAATGATTAAGGAAAGAATGAATCTGCACTGTGTGACTCATGGCCAGATATGTTAAGTGAATGAAGTTGCAGCCTAAATGAGTCACATTCATTGCATTTTGTCTTTCTTCCTTTTCTTTTTTCCTTTCTGTGGCCAGAACCAAGGTAGTAGCCCTCTGATTGCTCTTAGAACAATGCATTTTTATTGAGCTAGGGTACAGTAAGGAATATTTTTACATTAAAAGTATTACTTCAACAACATGCTACAGTACAAATGTGGTGCACCAACTTCACTTAGAAGCATCACACGACTTCTATTTAAATGTAAGTACTCAGTCATTGTAAGTAATGCATTTAAGGCTTAAATGTTTCATACATGTAGAACCTGCAGATCTGGTAGAGTAGATTCACATAAGGATATAGAGAGCAAGTGCAAGGGAAGATGTTTGAGCATTGGAAGCCCACTCTTTATGCTCATTCTAATGGTAAGAGGACAATACTAAAAACACTTTGATCTTCTTACTTTATCCATTATTAATCCACCTTAAGAGCTACTAACTAAGAAAACTTTTTAACATTTATGGGGAACCTTAGTCTCTGTAGTTATGGCTGGATAAGTTCTACTGTGACTATTCAATTAATTCTTAGCACAAAAGCATTTGATGTCCCAAAGAAAAGAATTACAAGCACTAAAAATCCATTAAAGCAGGCAATTCAGTACTGCAAGCCATACATCTGGAACTGTATGCCCAGTTTCAGGACTATCCTGGAAAGACTGAAAACAGACAGTTATTAAAGTCTTCTCTAATTTTCATTAAAAAGAATAACTGAGGTACTTAATGTTATGAGGGGTACAATAAAAAAAATACTCAGGCCTTCCTTTTGACACCAAGTCAAAGTAAGAAAATAAGAATTATAGAATATCAGGGTTGGAAGGGACCTCAGGAGGTCATCTAGTCCAACCCCCTGCTCAAAGCAGGACCAATCCCCAACTAAATCATCCCAGCCAGGGCTATGTCAAGCCTGACCTTAAAAACCTCTAAGGAAGGAGATTCCACCACCTCCCTAGGTAACCCATTCCATTGCTTCACCACCCTCTTAAGGAAAAACTTTTTCACAATATCCAACCTAAACCTCCCCCACTGCAACTTGAGACCATTACTCCTTATCCTATCATCTGCCACCACTGAGAACAGTCTAGATCCATCCTCTTTGGAACCCCCTTTCAGGTAGTTGAAAGCAGCTATCAAATCCCCCCTCATTCTTCTCTTCTGCAGACTAAACAATCCCCGTTCCCTCAGCCTCTCCTCATAAGTCATGTGCTCCAGCCCACTAATCATTTTTGTTGCCCTCCGCTGGACTCTCTACAATTTTTCCACATCCTTCTTGTAGTGTGGGGCCCAAAACTAGACACAGTACTCCAGATGAGGCCTCACCAATGCCGAATAGAGGGGAATGATCACGTCCCTCAATCTGCTGGCAATGTTCCTACTTATACAGCCCAAAATGCCGTTAGCCTTCTTGGCAACAAGGGCACACTGTTGACTCATATCCAGCTTCTTGTCCACTGTAACCCCTAGGTCCTTTTCTGCAGAACTACTACCTAGCCATTCGGTCCCTAGTCTGTAGCAGTGCATGGGATTCTTCCTTCTTAAGTGCAGGACTCTGCACTTGTCCTTGTTGAACCTCATCAGATTTCTTTTGGCCCAATCCTCTTAATTTGTCTAGGTCCCTCTGTATCCTATCCCTACCCTTCAGCGTATCTACCACTCCTACCAGTTTAGTGTCATCTGCAAACTTGCTGAGGATGCAATCCACACCATCCTCCAGATCATTAATGAAGATATTGAACAAAACCGGCCCTAGGACCAACCTTTGGGGCACTCCGCTTGATACCGGTTGCCAACTAGACATGGACCCGTTGATCGCTACCTGTTGAGCCCGATGATCTAGCTAGCTTGCTATCCACCTTACAGTCCATTCATCCAGGCCATACTACTTTAACTTGCTGGCAAGAATACTGTGGAAGACCATATCAAAAGCTTTGCTAAAGTCAAGGAATAACACATCCACTGCTTTTCCCTCATCCACAGAGCCAGTTATCTCATCATAGAAGGCAATTAGGTTAGTCAGGCATGACTTGCCCTTTGTGAATCCATGCTGACTTTCCTCTCCTCTAAGTGCTTCAAAATTGATTCCTTGGGGACCTGCTCCATGATTTTTCCAGGGACTGAGGTGAGGCTGACTGACCTGTAGTTCCCCGGATCCTCCTCCTTCCCTTTTTAAAAGATGGGCACTACATTAGCCTTTTTCCAGTCATCCGGGACCTCTCCCAATCGCCATGAGTTTCCAAAGATAATGGCCAATGGCTCTGTAATCACATCCGCCAACACCCTCGGATGCAGTGCATCCAGCCCCATGGACTTGTGCTTGTCCAGCTTTTCTAAATAGTCCTGAATGACTTTTCTCTCCACAGAGGGCTGGTCACCTCCTCCCCATACTGTGCTGCCCAGTGCAGTAGTCTGGGAGCTGACCTTGTTCGTGAAGACAGAGGCAAAAAAAAGCATTGAGTACATCCTCTGTCACTAGATTGCCTCCCCCATTCAATAAGGGGCCCACACTTTCCTTGACCTTCTTGTAGTGAACATACCTGTAGAAATCTTTTTTGTTACTCTTAACATCCCTTGCTAGCTCCACAGTGTCACTTTAGTTTGAAAATAGTACAAGGAAACATTTTTCAGAATGCAGTTAGCTACTACTGAAGGTTTTCAAATACTGTAGCAAGTTTTTAAGAGACGCGTAATGATAAATATCTTCTAGCTATGCTTGCTAAGATAAAGGTAATATGCTCCATGACATCAGCAGAGAGCCACAGTGAGCAGGTACAAATATTATCCCCCCTCCACTTCCATCATGCACAGCACTGCTTACTTAGTCAAGCGTATCCCTGATTTTTCCTTCCTCTGAAGGATCAGATATCACCAATGCAAGAGGCAGGACACTGGAGTTGAGAAGTGGGGAAATTTCAGTGTCATAACCATGTGGAAGTCAAGTCAGTCGGGTCTCTTCCCCAATTCCAACATTTCAATTAAAATGAACAGGGTTTTCTTTACCTTAAGAAAGAACAAGGATACTAAAAATTTTACCTGTTCTTTTGCTTGTTTCTGCTGTTCTCTTCTTTTGCGCTCTTCTTCATCTACCTTGCTAATGACAATGTATCTTTCCTTCTGAAAGCAGTAATGGCATAAGTAAATTATTCCAGGAATAGCTTGACAAAAAAAACTGAAA